ACTAGGACCTATAATCTAGAAGAACTAGATTAAAAAGGATTTTTAACTAGTTATAGGCGGAAGACTTGACTTTCATTTGGCTTATGTATTTAATGACTTGAAGACTTTAGGGCAAGGAGACTTTGTCTAATGGAGGTGATGACTTAGATAATCAATTTGGAGGAAGAAGAAGGCTTTGAAGAATCGGAGCAAGTGATAATAAAAACTTAGAATGGAGTAAATGCACACTATTAAAATATAAATATATAAACCTATCATAAATTAAGTAGAAAATGAACATAAGAGAATAAACTGTGTAAATGAAAAACTATGAGATAACTGGATTGAATCAAATTAAAAATACAAATTATTGAGAATAATTGTATACTCATAAATTAGAATTTGAAGGATTATTAAGATAACTCAGAAAATAATATAAAAATAACTCAGTTAATAATATTTCCAATTAATATTATTTTGGATTCGTCGGGGTTTGGAGGGTGGTGGTTATTGTGAATTTTAGACAACCTGAAAAATGGAGATTATAAAGATTAGTTTAAACACAAATTATACTCGCAAGTGCACAAGGTCAATCGTAATATAGTATGGCAAATACAAGATCATTCCCACGAGGATTGAGTTCAACTTCCAATTAGTCTAACCTAATTTCCTTCACAAAATACTTTAACTACTCTAATTATATAAACAAGAAATTAAACACGTAGCATACTCACGTAAACACAAAAGGGGTTTTTGCAAAAATGATTTAATTAACAACGAAATTAAAAGACAAAATAAGTAGAAAGTCACGAAACACAAGGATGAGAAATTCAAATTGATAAAAGCACTAAGACAATGAATTCACCACTAGTAATCCGATCTAGCCTCTTATTCACCTACCTATTTACTAACCATTTGATGTCTCCGGTTTTCCTTTTTCATGAATTACCTATGGTATTTAGGCTAACTCGTATATTCCTACATGCAATTCGCCTATGGTATTTAGGTCAAATATCAACACATAGAAACTCATTAAGATCGTGAAAATCTCGAACAAGCATGTAAACCCTAGGAGTATGGTATTTACCCTAGACGAATTACAAACCTAATCACAAGAAGTAAGCCTCAAATTAAGTATGGTATTTACTCTAATTTGCATATGATTAACTCAATTAAAAGTCTAGACGGTGATCAAGCATCAATATAATCAACCAAGTTATATATTAAGCACAGTGATTAAGAATCCAACATCAAACGGCAATCAATAGATAGGTAAAATAAGAAAACTAGATTATCATACTAGGGCTACATCATGTCCTAGCAAAAGAAAATTAGTTACACATAATCTTAGAATTCGACATAAACAAAAGCATAAGGAAGAAACAATAAAACTTAGCCAATGGTGGTACTCTTCCGACGTCTCCAATTTCTCCTAGTCTTTGCGTCCCCCTCAAAGGAGTTGTTTCTCATCCTTAAATAAAACACCCCACGTCTATTCCTGCCCTCACTGGGCTTTTACAGCAGCCCAACAATAAAGAAAAACCTAATTGAAATATAAATCCACAATGGGTAAGTAATTGACTCCTCTTCCTATTCGGACTGGGATAACACGTTAGTTATTTTGCAGGGACGTTTGGGGTTGTTCCTCCTCCAAGAAAATTCGGGAAAAATATGTAAATTGTAGATTTTTGTCTTATCTTTCAATCCATATATCGCATGCCTTGAGGAAAAATCAGGAAAGTCTTCAAATAGTCATTTTTCCACAGCAGCACAGTTTTGACGAGATTGCACCTTATGCTGACTTAACTTCAAAGACTGCTCTCATTGGCTCCTCCGAAAATTCTAGAAAAATTCCACAATCATCTTCAAGATCTTAGCTTTCATCTCCAACTGGTCTCGTACTAAAACTCCACCAAAAAGTCATATTTCCATTGAAAACCAATTACTTGTTCTGGAAAACTGAAAATTGAGAAAATAAAGTAATAAGTCCTTTTTAAATCAAATTCTCCTACAAAAACTAAGTATAAAGAGTACATAAATATGTAATTTTATGGACTTATCAGTGGTCATGGGGGAAAAGAAAATCGAAAGGGGGGCACTGGCTGGTCGCAGGATAGAGGGAGAGGGTAGAGAGAGAGAGAGAGAGAGAGTTTTTTTTTGTTTTAAATATTTTATTCATATTTCAATTTTTTTTAATGTGGGACCCATAGTGCCATATAGTCAACTAACGGAGAGATCTAATGGAAACCCTAACAGTGGAATCGCATTGTAACATATTTAAAAGACATGTGTATGTTATTGTAAAAATTAAGAGGTAGAGACTAAGGGCTAGTTTGGCATTGCTGTACTGTGAAAATAATCGCTGTCAGACTTGCTGTGAGAGAAATCAGCTGTGTAGTTTGGCGTTTGGTAAACTTTTTGTTAAGAGTGTTGTTGGTACTAATTCTCGCATAATCATTAAACCTAACGTCTCTTCGAAACTGATTCCTACATAATCAGAAAATGAAAGCACCTCATTAGCTGTTTTCCCTTATAGCTTTCTCTCACAACAATTTTTAACAATAAGTGATTTTCTCATAGTTTACCAAACGGACTGGGCTTCTCAAAATTTTAAAAAAATCACTTATTACCCCAAATAAGCAATGCCAAAGTAGCACTAACATATCTTAAGGATGTAACCACATGGTACTAAATTGTAATTAACCCTAAATAAAACCTCATCAGGCCCAAGCAGCCACCCCCTTCCCCGACCTCCAATTCCTAGCCCCACCCCACAGCCTCAACCACACCACCCAGCACCACCCAACCATGAAGACAGAAGATGCCATGGTAGGACCTCAAGGACGAGATCATGCAAGGTTATGAACCTCGACAACCCTAAACCCTAAAAGACCAAAAAAAACCAATAGGAAAAAAATAAAGTCTTCTTCCCTAACCAAGTCTCAACCTCGCCGCCTTACTCTCTGACCCAAAACCCAGCCTCCTCCCTTGGCCAAAACAACAGCCTCCATCCCTACCCAATCATCACCATCTCTCTCCAATCCAAACAAATCCCCCCCCCCCC